CAGCAGAACGGGCGCTGGTCGGACAGGACACTCAAAGGTGTGGACAAGTTTGTGGCTGGGGCTTATAGGGTAACAGGAGGTTGGGTTATATTGGCCATGGACAGGAGCGGCAGTGGATGGACAAGGAAGGCCCTGGGGACAACGGCCTAGTCACTGGAGGGGGATGTTTCTGAGACAGGCAGAAGCAAATGAGCTTCAAGCCCCACTAGGGTCGAGTGGCAGAAGCCCGAGGGTAGGCCTAGATAAGGAGATGTGGCCAGTTTGGGTTTTGCAGACAGAGCTCCAAGGACACGGGACTGGGAGAACACTCTCCCCCTCCCCGGACATAAACACCTGGGGCCATACCTACACGCCCCCCACTCCCTCATGCCCTTCAACACAGACATTCAGAGGTAGAGTCCTCAGCCCTGCACCCTTCCCACCCCAGCCAGCTCTGTCCAGAGCAGAGACAGTATGTATGAGTGGCAAGAGGCTGGCACCAGGTGAGGCCTATAAGCCTGTTTACCCTTAGGCAAAAGGTGGTGAAGGAGGGCAACAGAACTGACACTATCCCAGACAAATACCACATTTATTTCACAAACACTGCAAAGACAAGTTGGAGTGGAGGTGGGGCACGGGCGCGCAGCTGCACGGTCATCAGCAGCCCACTCCCCACACTGAGGATCCAGTCAGGCAGTGCCTCCAAGTCAACAGGCAGCGAGAAGTGAGTGCAAGGGAGGGCTCAGAACACCAAGCCCTGTTAAAGGGACACAGCCCCAGCTGTCCCAGGAAAACCACAAATAAATAAGAGTGGGGCACGGCCCCACCCACGCAGATCGTCTAGTCACCCATCTTCACTCTGGAGGTCTGCAAAAGAAAGAACAGGAGATATCAGGCAGGGACAGAGGAGCAGGTAAAACAGTGACAACTGACAGAGGACCAGAAGTAACAAATCATGGTGGGATGGACAGATGACAACAGATGGGTGACTGAACCAGAAGGGTATGCTGTGACAGACACACAGATGGGCAGGGACAGCCAGACAACCACAGTTAGGCTGTGGAACAGAGAGATGGACATATGGACAGTACCAGTCACCAAGAGTCAACCCAGCCAGGTACCCACAGTCACCCTCAGACCCTCAGGCTGGTCCTTGGTCGCAAACTCGCACACTGTCAGACAGATGAGACACACAACTCAGACATGCTGTCGTCTTCACGGGCACACGCAGGCCCACCATCAAACACACTAGGACAAACTGATGTGAACAGACAAGATCCCAACCCAAGGAGACAAAGTAAAAGAATGAGAAACTAAATTAAACATAGACACAAAGCAACAAAGAAAAACAGGACAGTGTGTTTCGAGATTAGAGACAAAATTAAATCGAAAGCTTCGAAAGGGGGAAACCAGGCCATGGAATGAGGTGGTGAGGCCATTCAGGGGCTCCTTGGTTGCAGGCAGAGAAGGGAGCACCGCAGCAACTCCTCTGGGGGGGGGGGGAAGCTGGGTGAGGGATGTGGACAGAGCCCCCCCCCCCGAATTCAGCACCTGAAGGATGGCCACGATGACCCCAAAGAGCCCGATGGCACTGCCAAAGATCTCCACAATGAGGATCTTCACGAAGAGGCTGGGGTTCTGCGCATCAGCGAGGGCGGCTCCACTGCCCACAATGCCCACACAGACTCCACAGAAGAGGTTCGACAGGCCCACTGTGAGGCCGGCTCCAAACATGGAGTAGCCTGGGGGGAGGGAAAGGGAGCATTGAGGCCAATACCAGCCAATGGTGCAAAGCAGGCCAAAGTAGGGTGACAACAAATGCATCAAAAGCAGGCATCTAAACTGGGGGCGGGAGGGGGAAAGCAGACACCCTAGCTTTTGGCCTTTACACACCAACCTACCTGCATGATAGTTTCGATGGCCAATGGCTTTGGGGTCCGTGGCACTGAAAGGCTGAGGGAGGCAGAGAAGCAATGAGAACCCACCGCCTTCCCCCAGCAATGTCCTACCACACTGGAAAAGACGCCCAGCCCCTGGTCCTCCTCCGTACCTCGGCCATGTTGCTGATGACAATGGCCATGATGATGCCATAGATAGCCACGGCCTCGCAGAAGATGATGCTGGTGCAGGTGGCAAAGGGGGTGGAGAGGAGATGAGAAAGAAACCAACATTCCTCCTCAGAGGAATAGCACCCCACCAGCTAGCACCCCACCCCATCAGGAGGCTGGCCAGGAAGAGACTGCCAGGTCAAACAAACAGGCTGCTCCCAATGTGGCGGGTGCTGACAGCGGGCCCCTACCTTACCTGACCAAGTTCTTGGTCTTGATCCTGGGGGCCTTCACCCCTCCCCCAATGATGGAAGAGCCAGTAATATAGATGCCCCTGGAAGGACAAAAAACTAGTGAGCAAAGTCCAACCTTGTCAGTGCCCTCAGGGTGACTAAGGGCCTGATGACACCGCCTTCCATGACTCACCCCCCCCCCCCAATCACACCACCCCAACACTCACCACGCTGCCCCAACCACAGACAGGGAGATAGCCAGGCCGATACCCAGGTTTGACCACATGAAGGGGGAAGTCTCTGTCAAGAACCTGGCGTGGAGACAGGGACAAAAGCAATTCAACCTTTGATGGACTCATCTCCCCACACCTGCGACCCCAATGGTGCTGGTTGCTCAAACAAGGGACTTCATGTCTTCCAAAGGTCCACACCCCAGGCTGCTGGGGGTGGGTGGGTGGAGGAGGGGGCTCAAATCAGAGAAGGAAGGCTGCAGAGAGGCAGCTCCTGGGAATCCTCTCCCTGCCCTCCCTTACCATGCCACATCAAAGCGGAAGCCCAAGCCAAAAATGGTGTAGCAGATCCCTGCAGCAGTGAGAAAAAAAGGCGTTAGGGGCTGTTCTCTAGAGAGAACCTCCCAAATGAGATGTGAGGCTGCAGCCCAACTGATGATGGGCTACCTCCTCAAAGGTCTGCCTGTACTTAAGTCCTGAGGCAGTTGTCAGGCTGCCCGCTACTGCTCCCCGCCAAGAAGGCACCGCGGCCTACACAGAAGCCTCTGCTCAGGCCTCCACGGCCTGCCACTCCCTCGATAACGTCTCACTCAGGGACACCCTTCCCGGACTGGGGCGTTTCCCAGGCACCACGCACAGAACTGAGCACCCAGGAGGAAGGGCGAGGAGGGGAGCTCTGGCCGGACTGCACCGGATCCCGCCAGCCTAGTCTGCGCCGCTGTTTACCCAACAAGTTGGGGGCGGGGCCGGGGGGAGCTGAAGGACAAGGGGGAAAAAGAGGAACTGGAGGGGCCGGCTACGGAGCAAGAGAGGGACGACAGCCGCGAGACGGGAGCGAGGCGGGACGACAGAAAGCGACCAGGGCTGCTTCCGCGGCCCCCACCTACCCCCGCCCGCGCCCTTCCTCTAGCAGCTGGAGATCCGGGTCTCCTCTGTCGGGGTCAGAGGCCCCAGGAGGCGTGAGGCAAGTCCCGGAACCCGGGGTACAGAGCCCGCAATGGAGCTCAGTATTGCCGGGACCCCACGCCCCCCGATGGGCTCCAGACCGGCCAGCTCGGCCCCGAAGCCGGCCCCGCCCGCCAGGGCCCGGCCTCACCCACGACGATCATGCAGGCCCAGAAGGCCACGAAGACCCCGGAGTAGAGGAGCGCCAGCCCCGTCATGGCGGCAACGACGGCGGGGCGCGGGTCGGTGGGGACAGAGCAAAAATCACGTCCCTGCGTCCGCCCCGCAGTCGGTCTGTCCGCCCCGCACCGTCACCTGACTCGCCCACGTGACGCGCCGGCACCACGTGACCCCGGGCCCGGCCCAGCGACCCTGGTACCCGCGACTCAGGAAGTCCAGGTGCAGAGGCTTGTGGTTATTGTAGTCTCGCGCTTCGGGAGAGGCTCCTGCGGCCTTCTGGGTCCTGCGGCCTCTCCCCGGTTCCCCTTGCGTCTCCAAGGCCGAGTCTTCTCATCCCCGACACTCCACCCTGTTTTACACCCCAGCCTGCGCGTGAGCCTCCCCAGCTTAGCCCCCAAGCCACCGGGGACCCTACAGGCCTTCGCCTTCCTTCCCGGTTCCGCTGGGGTGTCGGCTCTAGTACTCAATCTTCTGCCCGAAGCGGACGCACGCTCCGTAGTGCTTCTCTTACTCTAAGGCCTGGCTAACCGTTTACCGATCCTCCGAAACCATTCTCCCAGGATGCCTTCCTTAACCCCGAGACCACCTAGTGTGCCTGCTCTAGGATCCCCCTCTGCCCTGGTGATCCTCATGAAACTTCTGCAAGACCATGTCACTCTCGTGTTTGAAATGAACTCGTCGCTACCATTTCACCCTCAAAGCCATTGTCCTTTTAATGGCTTAACTAGGCCTCTACCAACGGCCGGAATTCACCTCTATTATTCCCCTACTAACTCCCCTGGCTGTGCTGGCGTCCTTGCTATCCTCGAACATAGCAAGGATATGCTACCCACCCCCACCCCCCCACCCCCGCCCCGGCATTGGCTCTGCTTCTCCTGATTATCCACGTGGCTCACTCTGGAACTTCCTTTCCGTCCTCTTTCACCTTCTTCAAAAGGCTTTCCCTGATCATCCTGTTTAATGTTGCAGCCCCCCTCCCTAACACTCCTTTCCCAGCTTTATATTTCTCCATAACACTTACCGCCATTTGGCATGCTGTATGTTTCTGCTATCCATCTCTTCCCCACCCATGAGATTTCTGTTGACCTCACTGTTGTATTCCCAATGCCTGGCACACAGTGGGTGTTCGATACATGTTTGTAATTGAGTTACAAAGTAGTCAACGGGAGATAAAATACAGCACAGGGACTACAGTCAATAGGACTGTAATAACTATGTATGATGCCAAGTGGGTACCGGAAGTATGGCAGCCCATTTGGCAAAGCATGTGATTGTCTGACTACCACGCGGTACACCCGAAACTGACACAAAACAGTGAGTGTAAGCTGTAAGCAAAAAAGTTGTTTTATTATTACATGTTAAAATGTTTTTGATGTTTTAAGTTATTAGATTTACACAAAATAACATACTCATCAGCAATATTATTTCTATTCTTTTAAATTCTTTCCAGTTGACAAAATTTTCATCTACAAAGTGTGTATATTCTACATGTTTACTACTTATACACATCTTATTTAGCATATTTGAATTTACAAATATATATTTACACAATTTACCATTTTCTAAATATCTTTGTTCATCTCTGTTGCTTTTTGCACTCAATGTTTAACTTTTCTCAGATGTATAAACATCTATACATATATTTTAAAGATGCTTACACTATTTGCAATATGTATCTTCTCGATTGGTTGATCCCTTTCAATTTTTTAAAAGGGTTATATTTATTTTTAGAGAGGGGAAGGGAGAGAGAGAGGAAGAGAAACATTGATCTAGCCCTGGCTGGTGTAGCTCAGTGGATTGAGCCTGTGAAGCAAACGGTCGCCGGTTCAAGTCCCAGTCAGGGCACATGCCTGGGTTGCAAGCCAGGTCCCCAGTAGAGGACACATGAAAGGCAACCACACATTGATGTTTCTCTCCCTCTTTCTCTTTCCTTTCCCCTTTGTCTAAAAATAAGTAAATAAAATATTTAAAACAAAAAACATTGATCTGCGACAGATGCATTGGTCAGCTACCCCTTGCCTCTGGCACACCCCCTACTGGGGATCTGGCCCTAGCCCAGGCATGTGCCCTGACTGGGAATTGAACCAGTGACCTTTCAGTTTTTGGGCTGGCACTCAATCCACTGTGCCACATCAGCCGAGGCATCCCTTTCAATTTTGATGTATGGGTTTGCTATAGAGTAATATACATTTTAATATATTGAAAGTTGTATCTTGTTTTCTTCAGGTATTTATGGTGCGTGTGTCTTGCATTTTAATGAAGATTTCCTATTTCAGTTGTAAGAAAAGTCTGTAGAATATCTATCTGGTGCCCACCTTGTCATGGCTACCATGGTCAGGTTCACAGGTCTTTTTCTACCAGTAGACGGGGCACTCCCCGAGGGTAGGGGCCATGACCCCTTGTCCATTTCCTCCTTCAACACCCTGAACAATGCCAGTATGCCAAGATTCTCAAAAAAGATGGACAACAAAGAAGTTGTAGGCCCTGGTCAAAGCTCAGTTGGTTAGAGCACCATCATCCCAATATGCCGAGGTTGCAGGTTTCATTTTCAGTCAGGGCATGTAAAAGAAGCAACCAGTGAATGCATAGAGAAGGGAACAATACATTGCTGTTTCTCTCTCCCTTCCTTTCTCTCTTTAAAGTCAATAAATAAAAAATTTAAGAAAAAGAAATGAGTTGCTTTACTTCAGTTCTCACTCTGCTTGAAGCAGCCACCATGCTGGTCCGCGCCAGTGTCCAAGCAGCACGCTGCCTCTGTCCCAACGGCCTTGCCACGCCTTCTCTCCTCATCGTTTTTTTTTATTGCTGTTCAAGTACAGTTTTTTGCCTTCCCCCCCCAACCCCAGCCCAATCTGGTATTTTTTTTTCTCTCTCTAGAGGTTCAGCTTAGGCACCACCCCTCTGGGAAGGTTCTTTTGGGCTCCAGCTGCCCCTGTTGGGCTTCCCTCCTCACAGAGAGTAACGTTTCACTGTGTGGTAATTGCCTATTTAACCACCTCTCCTTCAAATTACATTGTGAGGACAGGAATCCAATCAAAAACAACTCAAATCTCCAGTCACAGGACCTGTGTGGGAGCTGCAGTGTTTGGCGAAGACAATGAAACAGAAGCATCGGGTTTATTCAAGTTGCCGTGGGCTCCCTGAGAAACAAATCAGAGTCGGTCACAACCAGCAGTGGTTAACAGGACTTTCTGTGATGACAGAAATGTCTACAGCTGTGCTGTCCTCTCATACGGCTATCTGAGCAGTGAGATATGACTAGTGTGATTGGGAAAATGAGTTTTTAATCTTAGTTAAATTACATTTATTAGCCACGTGTATCTAGTGGCTGGCATACAGGACAGCACAAGTGTGGACCAGTGCTTCTCAGCGTGGGGGACAGATATGCCCCCACAAGGCATATCTGTCAATGCCAGGAGACATTTTTGGTTATCACAATTGGTGTGCCACTGGCATCTAGTGGGCAGAGACCAGGGATGATGTTACAATGTACGAACAGCCCCTCACAACAAAGATTTATCTGGCCCCAAATGTCAGTCGTACCAAGGTTGAGAAACCCTTGTCTAGACCATCTACAGCCTAGAGGCTTCAGGAAAGCCTCAACCAACAGACATTCACTAAGCCAATATGTGCTGAGCCTTATGCCAGGACAAGACAGAACCAGATCCTATCCCCAGTGAGGGGCTGTCTGCCCTCCCCATAGCCAGGCTCTTTCAAAGATCCTGGTAGAGGGGCAAGGTTTGCTACAGGGAGCACTGAAAGGTCTTAGCAATGATTCTTCTTTTGGACAGATCCTGCCTCAGGTTTATTTGTACAAAGCATGGAAGGACACCAGCTCCACGCAGACAAAAGCCAAGGGGTCACTCCGGCCTTTCCATCCTCACATAGGCAGACAGAGGCCTCTACTGTGACTGGAGCCTCCGTAGGGGTTTGGGGACCTTTAGGAGCCTGAGCTGCAGCTGTAGCCACAACCTGAGGCTTGGTTTGAGCCTTGGCCTTGGATGTTGGCCAGCAGAGCCTGAGACCCTTGGCAATGAGGCACTAGCATGTTTCCCATGCTTGGAGTGAGCGACATAGGTAAGTCGACTTAGCGTGTGATTATCATTTTTGGGGATCGTGGGCTTGACCTCCTTGGGCTTTACAAGGTTGACACTGTTGACCTGCACCATCTTCAGGCCCTTCTTCTTGTGCTTCTTGGCAAAGTGCATGTTCATCCGGAACTTGGGGTTTACTCCCAAGAGATTCATAGCTGGACTTCCACCAAGATGGAGGCATAGGTGCAGACGCGGTGCCTTCTCACACAACCAAGTTTAGAGACAACTAAATATTAGCAACAGAAAACACAACCAGAACACAGAAAATTGAACTTTTCGGAAGTCTGTTAACAACAAATTCTTCAGCCTGACCGGTAAGGGGCGAAACCAGCAGCTGGTGGAGCGGGGTTGCACAGGAAAACTCGGTCTGACGGACTCAGGGGCGCGGAATCCAGGCGCAGGGTTGGACCTAGTGAGAGACTGAGCAAGCGACTGAGCAAGCGACCATGGGGAAACAGTGAGGGAGCAGGGCTGTGGGTTGACTGTGGTCGCGCATTGGTGCGTGGATAGACAAGCGAGGGAGTGGGCAATTGGACCGGGCCCCAGCAGGTCCCCGCGGCAAGCGGCAGCGGAGCCCTCCGCTGCCATTTCCCCACTCTGATCCCACCTCCACATACAGCGTCATAACCAAGCAACTCTGAGTGGCCCGGCCCTGGAGAACCACCTAAGGCTCTGCTCCTCACCCAGCGGTGCGAAACAGCAGAGGGGGTCGCCATTTCCCTGCTCTGACCACGCCCCCACATACAGTGTCACAACCCAGTGACCTGGGAGTCCAAGGCTCCATTCCTCACACTTAAAGGGCGTGAACAGACCAAAAATGGCTCAAGAAGATCTCAAAGCCCCAGAGCCTATAAATCTAAGCAACAAAGAAATAGCAAAACTCTCAGATGCACAGTTTAAAACACTGGTGACCAGGATCCTCACAGAACTGGTTGATTATAGCCACAAATTAGACAAACATATGAAGGCGAAACTAATTGAAATGAATGGAATTGCACAGGAAACCAATAGCGATGTAAAGGAAACTGGGACGCAAATCAATGGAGTGGACCAGAAGATAGCAAATAATGGCCAAACAGAAAAGAGTGAAGAAGCAAGAATTCAAAGAAATGAGGAGAGTCTTAGGAACCTCCAGGACATCTTTAAATGCTCCAACATCTGAATTATAGGGGTACCAGAAGGGGGAAAGGAACAGCCACCAGTGGAAAACTTATTTGAACAAATAATAAAGGAGAATTTCCCCAATCTGGCAAAGGAAATAGACTTCCAGGAAATCCAGGAAGCTCAGAGAATCCCAAAGAAGTTGGACTCAAGAAGAAACACACCAAGGCACATCGTAATTACATTAGCCAAGATTAAAATGAAGGAGAGAATCCTAGAAGCAGCAAGAGCTAAGGGGACAGTCACCTACAAAGGAGTTCCCATCAGACTGTCAGCGGATTTCTCAAAAGAGACCTTACAGGCAAGAAGGGACTGGAAAGAGGTATTCCAAGTCATGAAATCTAAGGACCTACAACCAAGACTGCTCTATCCAGCAAAACTTTCATTTAGAATGGAAGGACAGATAAAGTGCTTCTCAGATAAGATCAAATTCAAGGAGTTCATCATCACCAAGCCCTTATTATATGAAATGTTAAAGGGACTTATCTAAGAGAAAGAAGTTAAAAAAACATGAACAGTGAAAGGACAGCAAACTCACAGTTATTAACAACCACACCTAAAACAAAAGCAAACTAAGAGGACAGCTAGATCAGGAGCAGAACCATAGAAATGAAGATCACATGGAGGGTTAGCAACAGGAGAGTGGGAGGAGGAGAAGGGGGGGAGAAGGTACAGAAAATAAGTAGCATAGACAGTAGATAGAAAATAGATGGGGGGGCAAGAATAGTATGGGAAATATAGAATCTAAAGGACTTGAGACACATGGTCATAAACTAAAGGGGGGGTAATGGGGATGGGGAGGTAGGGTGGAGGGGAATAAAGGGGGGAATAGAACAACTGTAATGGCATAATCAATAAAAAATAAATTAATTAAAAAATAAAAAATAAAAGTTTAGGAAGTGGTGTACAGAGAACAAAATTAAAATAGCTTTAAACATTAAAAAAAAAAAGATTCCTAGCTTTATGATCAGGGTTTCTTGATGGCATTTCTGTGCTGCTTTCGGGACTGGTTGTACACGGTGTGGTTCCTAGATTTGGCCATATTTGCACCCCAGCCCACAGCTCCTAAGTGCCCAGGACTGAAACAGTTAGCAATGGTCCTTAAGTCCATCTGTGTCTCTGATGGACATGGTATCATCAGCTGCTTCCCTCATCCTCATAGGCTATGGCAATACCTCGTCTTCCACTCACGGCTCCTGTCACTGGTGTCTGACCCAGTTGAGGCTGCAGCCCTTGCCAGCTCCGGGAACAAAGGAACGAGGCTGCAAAGGGAGAGGACTGAAGCTGAGTGGGCTGAATCTGGGGGCAGAGTTCAGATGGAGTGGAGACTCAGCACACTTACCTGCTGGGCTGCTCTCAACCAGCTCCAGCTGAGGTCGCGGGGTCAGGGTGGAGCATGCAGGATCATTTGATGACTTCCAGACAGGTGGGGGTCGGAGCTCCCCAGTAATGAGTGACACATCTGGGGTGTCCCACAGTTCCGATTCAGGTGGTGGGAGAGGCACGTGGAAGGGAGAGCCTAGGAGAGAGAAAGATGATTCATACCGGCTCTTGATTCCATGCCCCAAGTGTTTCCAGCTCAGGCAGTGCCCCACCACTCACCAGGCAGTAAGTCTGCATAGTGCGTGAGGTGGGGAGCCAGTCTCGGAGATGGCCAGGCAGGGTTGCAGGCGGCCTCCAGCTCACATGGTGACAATACAGGCCGGAAGAAACAACCAGAAGGCTGGGGAGCCAGGGGACCAAGAGGACAGGCCAACAGCACAAAGACGTCCACCTCAGGGAAGTTAGCAAGCTTGGGAGGTGTGGGCCGCCCCAGAGCTAACACGTAGCTGCGCTTGCCGGCAGCCCGTGTCAGGTTCCGCAAGTGCGCCAGTGCCTCCAGGTGTCGGGCCACCCCCAGGGTGCCCACCAGCAGCCCCACCACGTGAGCATCTCTGGCCCTCTCTACCAGGTATTGTCTACGTGCCCTTAGCCGCCCAGCCCGGGCACTTTCATCACGAGTCCTCCCAGTGTCTGGGCAGCAGGAGAAGAAGGGCTGTTCTGGCGCCCAACCCAAGAGCAGCCTGCTCAGGTCAGGGTCAAGGTCAGGGTCAGGGTCAGAGCTGGCCTCAGAGCCTCCCACATAGAAAGCACCATACTCTTCCAGACACCTCCCTGGTGCAAGGGGAAAGCGACGCCCAAAACGCTCCAGGGGCTCAGGCTCTGAATTGAGGGAGCCCACCGGCAGGGGGAGAGCTGGGCTGGAGACGAGAAGGTCCAGGTACCGTGGGCGCAGCAGAGTGGCCAATGCCTCTGGAAGAAGAAGGTGGTGCGGGGTTGGGGCCTGGCAAGGCAAGAGCTCCCCTACTCCTCAGAAGACCAAGTGGGACCCCACACCAAAGGCAACAAAATACAATTAAAAAAACAAAAGCTGGGGTCAAGGCCATAATGGGAACTCTGTGGGAGTGTACTGTAATGGGGAAATAAGGCACCATGTAGTTGACCCGCCCTCCCTGCATGCACAGGCTAAACTCCTCACCCAGGGCATGGGCGCAGGCTGGCTCACTCAGCAGCACCACTGGAGCTGTTGGGTCTAGGTTCTGAGCCTCGAAGGCTTTGGCGCAGAGCTCCAAGGCCACAGAACGCTGACCAAAGACAAAGGCCACCGGCAGCAGGCGGGCTGGAGGGCTTAAGCAGGCAGGACCAAAATGTACGAGGGCCTGAGCTCCAGCCTGCTCAGCACCCAGCACATCCACACAGCAGCTGTGGGGGAAAGCCATTAGTGAGAGGGGTGTCATCAGGAAGAGCTGCTATCATCAATGGGAGATGTGCTCAGTGAAGAAGGTGATGTTTACAAAAAGACACCATCACTGAGAGGACCTAGTCTCAGGAAGGTGGTCATCAATCATCATCTAAGAGAAACACAGCCATTAGGGGCATGTGCCTTGTCATAAAAGGGAAATACCACAAGCCCTGCGCCCCTAGGTCTACCCTACACTCCATCCTGAAGCTCAAGTTCACACCTGCCATAGGCCGTGTCCCCCAGAATGAACATCTTCGACCCCGAGGTCTCCTCCAGTCGTGCAGCCACAACCCCAGCATCTCCCAATAGCTGGTCAGGGAACTGCAAGGCCACCTGTAAGCACAAATCACGGAGTCAGAAACGGCATCTCCTTTCCCACGGTTTCTTCAGGGAAAACCTTCCCGGAGTCCCTACCCAACCAACCTTCAAAGACCCTCGTCCCAGAGGAGCACCGTCCCCACTCCGCCACCCTCACAAAATTACTCCAAGATCGGGATCTTCTGGGAGATCCACCCCCAGAGAAGTGAGCCACCCCTCCCTAACCTGCCCTCACCCGTTGACACCCCAGGTCGCGGACAAATCCCACAACTCGCTGCAGTTCGTATACTCGGTCCAGGTCCGAAAGAGGAGTGAGTAGCCCCGCGGCCCCCACCTCCCGCTGCAGCGCAGCCTCTGCAGGGCTGCTGAATGTGGACTCCATGAGGCACAGCTTAGAGGGCAGCAGGCAGCGGGGAGCTCCCTCGGTCCCCGCGTCCTCAAAACCAGCCCATAATGGGTCAGAGACGTTTGGTGAGGGCGAGGAGTTAAGGATCCGTGAGACCACAACCCGTGGACCAGCCTCACGAGGGAACTGAACCACAGCTACTATTTCCGGGTTTGTAAGGCGGGCCTGATAGTAATTGTACCAATCGTCAACCAGCACGGCTCCCGCCCTTCAATCCACCACCCAACAACCAATGGCTGACCTCAGAGCCCAGGGCTAATCGGAAGTCCTTCATGAGGCGCAGAGCCTTATGGGTGTTGCAGTTCCTTTGGCCCTCCTCCCCAGAAGCTGGGAGTTTTCAGGTTCAGGACGCTGAGCGCCCTCTGAAATACCCACTCCCCGAAAATAACTACTTCGGTTTCAGCAGCTCTAATGTCTCCATCGCTGTTTCCTTACCTGCAGAATGGGGCTTGTAGAATCCAATTAGTATTCCTAATTGGATTTTTGAGTCAAAACAATTTAGAGATAAAACCTTCCAAAGTAGTCCTTCGAATATTACGTGCACTAAAAGCATTGCTATTATCCTCCCAGTCGGTCAATCAGACAAACATTGAGCACTTACTGTTCACCAGGCACTACATTCTTAGAGTTTACAGTCTTCAGAGTAAGAACTGTCCCAATTTACAGGTGAGAAAACTAAGGTTCAAAGAAGCTAACCACGTGTCCGATAAGACACAGCAAATCAGTGGTACAAACCTAGGTCTGATTTCAGAAGCTAGGCTTTTTGACTTCTCATTTTCCTAGCTTACTATGCTCCACTGGTCAGGGGGGAGGGGAGAAGAGGAGGGAGAAGACACCAGAGAGCATGTTGTAGGGGAAGAGAACTAAGTTAGAAATCAAGAGTGAGGTAAGAATGGGGTATGGGGGACAGAGTGGCCTCAGGGGATGGCACATGAAAGGCTGGCATGGGAGGAGATTGAGCGAGATGAAGAATGGACACAGAATTTGTGTAAAGTTTGAGAAAAGAGCAGGGGAAAGGGATGAATCTAAAAGTAACCAGCTCTATCACTTCTAAGGAGACTCAGGCTCAGGGAAAGGAGTGGGGAGAGCCCAGACGTGTTCCTCAGGTCTTACCGAGATGGCTTGGGTGCCTGAGAGGCAGCCCCGGGGGCACTGTGACTGACAATAAGGGAAGGAACCCTACACAGAGAGGAGAGAGACAGGGCGGGAGCTGTCCCTGGTGCTGACCAAGCCCGACCAAGGCGGGCTGGTCAAGTACCACAGAGTGGGGGAGTTTCAGGTACACAGAGAATACCAGCTCCTGCCTTCCTCCTCCTCTGGGATCTGCAATACCTCCTCTCACGCTTGCTCAGTTCCACTTTCTACACCTCTCCCCAACCATGTGCAAATTTGAGTGCCTCCATAACCCCACACCAGAAACCTATCCTGGAACGCAAAGCCATTCTCCATTCTTCCCTCCCAATTGGACCCAGCCTCCCCTGGCCTCTAGCCTGAGTCCCAAGTCCTCTATCTCAGAAGCCTCCCATTCCCATCAGAGATGAAGCTTCCTCCATGCAGCCTTCCCTCATTGGTCCCATTCTCCTAGCTTGGCATGGCAGCTGTGGACTAGATCAGCCTTTGTTTAAGCAGAACAAGGCAAGGCAGAACTAGGAACCCAGCACTCAACACTGTCGATTATGTGTTCATGAACAATGGAACTAATTTAAAGGGGCGTGGGTGCTGATACTGCTGTGATCCCCAGCCCACCCCAAGGGCGATGGCAGTGCTCTGAATGGCTCCAGCCTAGGAGCAGCTGACTCTGGCAGTACCCCTCCCACCCCAGGAGCAAGAGGTTGGCTCCACCACTCCCTACCAAGGCCTGGGTCCAAGCATCCTTCCCTCCTTCCCCTAGGCCTTCTGGGGCCACCGTTAGGTAGCAGTGGCAGGAGAAAGGAAGCAGAGACGACAGGGCAGTGAGGGTCCAGGTTTACTCTTTGGGTACAGGGAGGAGTGAGCAGGTGTGGGTGGGGCGGGAACACCCCTCAGTAGTCAGCTGTGTAATCTGTGCCATGCAGGCCCCGGCACAGCAGTGTGAACTCCTTCACCATCTCCTTCACCCGCCTCTTGTTCACTCGCTCGCTAAAGGAGAGAAGGGAGAGCAGGTTAGCACCATCCACCACTACTGTCTCTTCCAGACCTGAGCCCAGGCCCCACCAGCTCTGCTCACCGAAGGATCTGCTGGCTGAAGGTGTCCTTCTGTTCAGGACTGAGGCGGGCAGAGGGAAAACCAGGCGGTCGCAAGGCCTCCTTGATCCACATGCTCAGGAGGCTGAAGCAGTGTTTGTTCAGAGCAAACAGGATGTCAGCAAAGCAGTCCATGAGGCTGCGGGAGGCCTGGCCCCCAATGGCCTGAGGAAGACGGGTTCTCAGTATACCAGGCCTTGCCCCCTCTTCAGCAGAGGTGCCGCGCCATGCTCCACCCCCTCACACAGTTCCTCAGCCACACTGCTTATGAGAAGCGAATGCTGCTTTTTGAGAGCCAGCTGGTCGTCCCAGCAACTCTTGCAACTTTCAGGCATTCAAATAAGGAAGAAACAGAATCAGAGAGTTTAGAGGACCCAAGGCTCAAGGTTCCCAAAAGGGCAGCTGCCACAGCAGCAAGGGCCACCACACCCCCAGCGAGGCCCCCACCTGCTCCACCTCACCTCCAGCACTGCTATGAGCAGCACGCGGCCGTCCTCCTGTACCACCTTTCCCACGGGTTCTACTTCCCCACATCGAGGCAGGAGCTCTGTCTGCAGAGGATGGAGAGGACTGTCAGCCCCAGCTCCTTGGCCCCTCATCCTGGAGACAAGACCTGTACACCACACCCCTACCCTCTGGAGGCCTGGGCAGGGTAGGCTGGGTGTAGGGGTGGGGGGCTCAGGGGTCAGCCTGGCACTCACAAAGAAGCCACAGGAGGCCTTGACAGTAGGTGCCTCAGGGAACTTGAGGGCCAGCACAGCTGTGGGAGAGGCAGAGGCAGATCAGATGGGGCCTACAGATCCTCTCAAGGGGGCCCCATGCCCACCTGTGCACCTGGCCGTACTCACCACACTGGAACACAGCTTTGACATCCAACCGTTCGCACAGGAACAAATCCGGCTTCCGCTTCAGAGCCTGCAGGAGGTGGAGCTGGTAAGGCCAGCCCCAGCCAGCTCCAAGGACCATCTCCCCCCACTCACCTGCCACCCCAGGGCCCAACGTCACACACCATAGGCAGAGGCTGCGGACACTAGCTACCCAGCCATCTCTGGGGCACCCAGACCATCCCAGAGTTCAGTAGGCCAGGAGAGAAGCAGCCAAGGAGTGCTAGGTACATGTACATGTACATGTACATGAATACGCTGGCATATATCAGAGAGGGTGGGGTTCATAATGCAGATAGCTTGGGTCCCAAGTTACTCCCTAAACAAACACCTTCCCCTCTCCCCTCCATCAGGGCCAGGTTCCTGCAGGCTCCAGGTAGCCAGCAGTGATGTGGCTTTGACTCAAAGAGGTAGCTGAGGCCCCCTTTGTTTAACAGGACAGCAGGAAGGAGAGATGACAGCTGGATGGGGAACACAGCCCAACAGCCCCCTCCTGTGTCCTGCCATTGAGCAGACACCCTTCAAATCAGGAAGAGGAAAAGGAGGGCAGGAGCCTTGGAGCCACAGCCCCACCTTTCCCCCAGGGTGCCCTGTGTCCAGGCCCTTCTCAGCCATGGCCAGCCCGGGGGCCGTGTTGCCATGGGGCGGGCAGCGGAGGGAGCACTGGGGGCAGATAGCCCACCCCAAGTGGTACTGGGACACGACTGACACATCCTCAGGTCACAGGAGGTGCTCTGCGCAGCTCCCGCGGTCGTCAGACGCTGCTGGTCCCCGAAGCCTCCCAACGCATAGCACACAGACCCGACCCCTCCAGCCCCCACACGCCTTCCAGTCTGCCGCACTCACGCACATGCAGACGCCCCCGCAAGCACCCTCACTGAAACACCCTGCAGACCCTCAAACACACTTCTGTCACATCCCTTACACAGGCACACACTCTCCCACAGTTCCACATTTGCAACACACCCTCACTACATACTCACACACCCAGTCCCCAACATCCCCAACCACGTCCACACCCACACCCTCACCTACCCAGTCTTCCGTCCGGCACAGACACGCACCTAACACAGCCGCCCACAGATACGCTCACACGCCCTCAGCCCCAAAGCTGCCCCCATGCTCATCCAGGCCCAGAAAACACTCCCTGTTCCCCACTCCCCTCACCTGCCCCCCAATAAATGATGAGTTACAAGAGAGTGAGAACCAAACCCACTGTTGCTCACCATTACACCCTCAGCGCCTAGCAGAGTACTGAGCATGTAATATACCCTCAGGAAATGTTTGTGGAATGATTGAGCAAAAAACCCCATTATTTAAATTAGCCCACAGGACTCCCCCAATCCGCAGGAACCCAATAACACAGAACTCCTGTATGCTAAGCCCACATTCCCCAGGCCTAACACACTCTCTCCGCACACATACCCAATACAGACATACCAACACCACAACATACATGCAATCCTCCATAGTACACAGTGCTTCCCACACACATCAACATTCAAAACCCATCAATGTCCACAGCATGTCAACATGAAACAGGCATTGATGCACATGTCCACACTCCAATTACATGCCCAACGTAGCGCTCATACTCCTTACAGCAGTTTCTGCTCCTGCCAAACCAAACTCCAGACATAGGAGGTAGGGTCCGGCACACACCGCATTCGAACACAGCCCACACGGTCTCGCGGTGGAGCCAGCGCCCACCTCCCAGCAGCAGCACGACCCTCCACAGCCCCACTCCCCTGAAGCACACTCATCTCGCTCCTCCCTTCGGAGCTCCTCCCAGCTGCCTCTCAGGAGCAGGCTGGGGGCACCGAGGCAGGCAGTTCCCGGCAGGAGCACGGGGACAGTGAGCCCCAGGCCCTTGAACTCCAGTCCTATCCCGGAACTTCTTGGGCACCCCGGCCGCACAGGAGCTGCTGGGCACAGGTATCACCCCTCCCGTGCCCACCCAGACCAGGCCAGCCCACTCCCTCCCTCTGGGGTCGGCCTCGCCCTGGACTGTGTAGGAGACTGAGCTAG